AAAAGTTTTCATGAATTTTTAATAGTTTTCTTATTTTAAATTACTACAGTCTTTATTTAAAATAAATTTTTCATCAATTCTGAATCAAAGGGTGGACAAAGAATTTAAATCTATAAATAAACGGCCAAGTTATACGCGTTCATAACCTATCACTATTTCGTTACACAACTTTTTGATTTGCACCCCGGTTTCGCCTACAAAGCCGTAATCCTATGTCAAAGCACTTTATGTATAATAACTATTCCACTTTGATTACACAGAATAAAATCTGAAATCCTATCCTATCACTTATGTACTCTATCTAGCACAATCAGAACTGTTTACACTCGTAGGTGTGCATAATATTCTATAGCTGATATTACTTTCACCTTATCCACAAAATTTGTATTACACACATTTAAATTTTTTGTTTACATGATGGAATAATTCAATAAACCCTTCTTCTTATTCGGCTTTACTACGTCGCTACTTGGACTTTCCGCAGGCTCACAACTTTGTAAGAGCAAAATTTCCATTTAATTCCACTAAGCATTGTGCAGTGCTCAACAGGGTCATTCCCACTTAAGATCTACTGAAGTCTAACCCCCTTAAATACTCATTCCCTAGGTAAACATGTCAAGCTCAGATTTAAAAATCAAACTGCAACGTGCAGAATCGCAAACCTACTTAACTAATAAACCAAGATTCAAGTTATGAAGGAAAACAACTCTTTGGCAACTCTTTTCTATGGTATTTGAATAATACAATAAGGCACAATTTCTCATACTATCTTTAAACTTACCGTGACATCATCAGTGGGCTGTATCATAATCCTTAAAGTTGCATCGTGCACATTCAACTCAGTTCAGTTAATGTTGCTGGGTGTTTTGGTTTGAATTAGAAATACTCAGAGGGAGAGATGGGCGGAGAAAACAAAATACAATTCGGCAGCAGGCATTTGTACCTAAATTATCTTGCAACACTTACTTGAAGCTAGCATTTCACATGACTTTTATTTTTGATTCGATTTACGTGCAAAATAATAATTGATTGCATCGCAAGATTTTTCACATTTCTTGGTGCCATTAATTAACCAACTAAGATCAATGAATCAATAGAGTTAGACTATTGCTTTTGATTCCAAAAACTAATTGAATTTGAGAAGCACACGAAACATAGAGATGATTGAATTTCTGTTCGATTGCAATACTCTCAAATTTAATCTAATAAGAATAAGAAATCATCGAAAAAATCTATTTAGAATGTTCGATTGGCTCAGATTTTGACAGTTCATTTAACTCAAAACATTCTCTCCGCCCATCTCTCTCTTTGAGTATTTCTAGTTTGAATAATATTTTACCCTGAAAGGTTGTGATATTAGACGGGCCCAAATTTATATGGGCAGACCTTTTTCATCTTTTTTAAATTGTGTTTGGATACAACTCTCTCATACATTCAAAAGAAATTATATCAATAAAACTAACTTGAATCGTGCTTTTTATGTTATGAGCTTTCCAAAAACACATAAAACAAGGGTTTTATTGGACTCAGTGCCGTTAAATACATAAAAAAAATCTAATATATATTAAAATTCATTTGACCTTCAGTTTCATATTTTTATGGACATTCATATTTTTAAATTTGATGAATAAACATTGAAAATCGGTGAAGCAATTAAAAAAGTAATTAATTTAAAAGTTGGGTATATTAGCAAAAATGTTGATTTTTCTGACCACCCTAACTCAGGAAGGGTGAAATAAAAAATATGGGTATTAAAGGTGTATTCAGACTTGAGCAAGAGCGAGAGTAGCGGAGCGGACTTCGGGTATTCGGGTGCGCTCGGCTCTCTGAAGATGGCTTGATTCACAGGAGTGGAACTTTGGATTAGAAAGTGGCTCCACTTGTCATTTGCGAACACTAGCGCACCTAGCGGTAGAAGGCATCTTCTGCCTGCAGTTAAGATAGGCAGCATGCTATGATAGTGTGAGTGCACATAGAAAGCCCTGTGGAACGCTACCACAACACATCGCTTGTTGAGCAGAAAAACGAACACTTTTTGATTCACCGATTTGTTTGCACTTCTCCTTCTGTTCTGTGCTTGATTGTTACCACGCCACAGTGGGCTTCAAAAATACGTTCTCGACGATATTTTTCTAGCTCCGCTTGGCGGAAATTCTTGCTCTCTGATTATCTCTGCATAGCATCGGCCGAAGAGAACGAGAATTGAGAACATAAAAAAATAGGTAAGGTACTGCATGACTGCCGGAGTGATTCGTGATTTAGGCGTAATTTTAGTAGAACACCCAACAAAAGACACCGAATCGGCGAATCCTGAGAGCGGAAGGGAGAGAAGTAGGTTGTCATTTGTTTGCTGAGATTCAGCTAAGCATTATCCGACACTCAGCAATCAAATGTCACTTTTGCTGAGATCTCAGTGAAACTTATTTTGCCGAGATTTGCACAGTCGGACTCGGTATAAAAAACTAAGTGTGTAAGAACCAGTGTTACGAATGGGCAAGGGGAGCACGGGCCACCCATCGTCTCTTATAATTCAATAATACATTATTTTATCATTTCTGTACACTTCAAAAGACGATCTTAAAAATTTAGGAAATAAATACAAACTTTAGCAAAGCCCTGCAAATTTCAAAGAACTTCGTGAACTTCAGAATAATTAAATAACATTCACAATACAACACTAAATTTCTTAAAAAATTTCGGAAGTTCTGCTGATATGCGATTTTTCATACAATTCAACACAAGCTTCTCAAAGGTTTACATCTTTGAAAATTATTGAGTAGGGGAAAAGTTGGCTTCGGCAATACCTTAACCTATTATCGTCAGGGGGGTAAACAAAATCCAAGAGCACTCAAATTTGGCCAATAGTTGCTCTGAAACACAATGTATCCACATGCCAAAATTGAGCTCTCAAGGACGTTGTTTACCCCCTGACGATAATAGGTTAAGGTATTGCCGAAGCCAACTTTTCCCCTATTTATGTTGTTTGCTGAGTTAAAAAAAGTTTCAAAACACATGTGGAATACACAAAATTAAAGTGAATTGTTTTTCTTCTGACGCTTACAGGAATGTTTTGAAGTCCACAGATGTAACGAGCATAATGTTTTCTGGGTATATTAGCACTCTTCTGGTTGATAATTAATTATTCTGAAGATCTCATATTGTTCAATAGTTCAAATCGTGCGTCTAAGATATTCTTGCAAGAAAGTCGGTTGATCAAGTATAATAATAATAATAATCTGTAGGGTGGCCACCCAACCGGTAAAACCAGAGAACCGAAAAATAACCAGAAAAATGAATTTAATATAAAAATATTTTGGTTGAGTTCTGTTAATGTGTTAACTAAATATTCTATTTTCTGTTCTGTATTTGATCAACTGATGGTCTTTGGAATCATTCCTGATCACCGGATTTTCTTGCAAGAAAATCTAATAAAATTGATTTGATTTTTGGAATATCAATAGATTACAGAAAACTAGAACTAAAAAAAAATGAAATTTCACTCCCCCTTGCCCATTCATAATAGTAAAATAAATTATAATGTTCGAACATCCATCTGTTGTTGTCCAATTTTCAAGAAATTATTTAACAAAACTGATTCCTGGTTTGTCTGAAATAAGTCTGGTACAATAGCAGGTTTATTTGAAAATTTTCCATCTGTCAAATATAAGTTAAAATTCACCAAATGGACCGCACCCAAAATACAGAAGGGTTGACAGCTGTAGTTGCTCCTAGTCCCACCTTCGAATGGCATTTGCTAGATAAGATGAGGTTGTGACATAATTAAACAAATAAGCTCTGCAAACAACGCTCTTTGCAAACAATTTTATGAATATGTTACTGGAAAAAATGAAAGTATTAAGGAGGTAGTCCACTCTGGCGGCATGAAAAATAGGTCATTTTCACGAATGTTTTTTGAGGGTAAATAACGATCAATTAAAAAAAAGGAATGCATGGTTTTGTCAATTGAAATGTCTTCTTTAATTGAAATTTTTTGGCGCTATTGGATGTCTCCTGTAGCCACTGCACCAGGTTCCCCAGGAGACCTCCCGTCTGAGTCGTCGCGGGGCGGGACGTCTGGCGGTCACACCACTGGAGCTGGAACAACGAGTTTTTTTGTGGTTATTCTCTGATAGATGACCCAGTCTTGTACGTAGCCGTTTTTGATTTGGTTGAAAAATAAAAATAAGGCGACGTTTTGAAAAAAAAAAACAGTCCGTTTTTGTACCCTAAAATTGAAAATAAAAGCTTGCACCAAAAATCCATTTTTGATTCTTTTGAAAATCGGCTACGTACAAGACTAGAAAAAAAGGTACTTAGCTCGAAAATTCAATCGCCGTTTAAATCGAATGAGCCGTTTCTAAAATACAGCGCCCGCCAATCGTTTAGAGATAATCGCGGCAGCAGTTGGAACTAATAAGACACGCCGTTTCGCCGGTAACGGGTGGGTACTCCGAGCGCTCACCTGAGCGCGCTTGGAGCGTCTGGAAACGAGTCCACTAATCGGCCTATAACTATAACGATGTCACTTGCGGACTTGCGGTTAAGTTTATGTCAAAGTAGACATTCCAAAGTATTTTTTAAGCCAAAAAAAAAAGATTTTTTGAAATTTCCAGTGTGGACTACCCCTTTAAAAAGGAGGACATTTTCATGCAAAAGGAGGATGTAGAAAAATTATTGAAAAAGGAGGACATGTCCTCCTTTAGTATACCATATGGTAACCCTAGCTCCGCTACTCTCGCTCTCGCTCAAATCTGAATACACCTTAAATATATCGATAAGGAAAACATTTACAAGGTTTGAGCGAACTCGAAGCAATTTTTTTTTTCGGTAATACTTTTTTTTCCATTGAACCAAAAACGCCAGCTCGTGTTATAAAGAGTGATCACCTAATGGCGGAATTCTGAGGGTGCCTCGTAGAACATTTGATTTTTTTGTAGGCCTGTGACTGTGATATGTTCTCAAAGAATAGTCATTGTTCATAATTGTTATCACATACAAATTTTCTCTTTTTATTCAAGGCAGCTGCAAAAGGCATTTGTTAGCACTTAGGAAGCACGAACGTTTAAAGCTTTCAGTTTCGTAGGCCATTAACACTTAACAGTTGGTTAAATAATATTAATCTCTCGAGGTATAAATGCTGTGCGTTCACTATTTCCCTTTAATCGGGTTAATTTCAACTATTCCACTCCGTCATCTCCACGGCTCTCATACGAGATCCCACCAGTTCTCCCAGCACCGCTCGACGCCCTCCAACGGCCACGAAGATCTCGATCATCGAGAGCACTGTTTCGAGAAAAAAATATAAACAGAACAAAGTTTGATTGGTTAATCATTGCGAAATACTGAATTTAAGAAAGGCTGGTACCGAACAGAGAAAGAACGATGAAGATCATGATGTAGAGGTGAAATTGACCCCCGTTCAGGATGCACTGGACGATGAACCAGGTCGTAAGGGCCGCAATCAATAACATCTGGCAGTAGGTGAAGTACTTGAACAAATCGATCATTGCCGGTCGTCTCTGTTGAAAACAATAAGCCGCGATGTCATACAAGTTTTCATACACAGTACACTAGCAATTCCATATCTTACCAGCCCAGTTCCGATCATCCAGAATAGCGAGAAAACGATGTTCAAGGCACATGGCGTGATGATCGACACGGCAGAGATCCCTGTTCGGAAAAGTATGTCAAAATGAGCACCAATGTAATGGGAAAGTTCTAACTTCGTACTCACAGTCTGTCACAATGGGGACCGCCCCTTGGCTGAGCACGACCAGTACCAGAAAGATGTGGATGCAACCAAAGATGTAGGTGAGGATTTTGTAGTTCCTATTGGAAAACATTGCGTCCGGAGCGATGGGCTAGGACCATCTGTCGGGGAGAAATGTGTGTTACTGCGTGATGAGTGGAGTTGAAATTTGGAGCCGGTTAAGATCGAATGATTTGTGGATATGAGTGGAAATTTTGCGCAGTCGGTGTTGTAAGAATTTAAATATCAATACACGGTGTTTCGTGGAAACCTATTTGGGGGCATTTTGAAATCATAAAATGTTAAATTTCTGAACATGTCCCATCTAAAATTCATATCTAAAGGTTCTTTTCAGGGCAATCTTAGACATAATAAAGAGTATAAACAGAGAGAACCCCGCTCAAATTCCTCTTCCTACACAAAACACAAGCTTCTGCAGCAGTATGTTATTTATACCCAAAAGTAGGTGAATATGATTAAACTCAACTTGATTATACTCAAAGTCAAAAGTAGATAAATTTAAACTGGCCGCTGGGTACTTTTTTCTTATCGTCTATGTTTTTTTTTTGCATCATCCTTTTGCCACCTTGTTTATATCACCTGATAGCTTCGACCAGTGCAACCAGAACGTTACATATTTTTTTTCCTTGATTTGTTTTCCATACTGAGTACCAATGCTGCCGGCACCGATGGTGTAGTGGTAAGCGTGACTGCTTTCTAACACCCCAATGGGTCTGGGTTTAATCCCAGCCGAGGCCGATGGGATTTTTCTGAGGCATAAAAATCTCTGGTCACGTCTGCATTAAAGGGTGATACGGTCAAAATTTGGTCAATATCAACTTGACGTATTTCTTTCAATTTTGCATTTAAAAAACCTGAACACCCCTCATTTTGAAGGTGTGTGTGTGTAGAATGTTGCTCCTATTTTGATTTTGGAATTCACTCTTCAGTTGTCAAAATGCCGTCCAAGCAAGAAGAGCAGCGTATCAAAATTTTGCTCGCGCATCGCGAAAATCCGAGCTACTGAGGCTGTACACGACGATGCTGACGAAGTTTGACTGCGTGGTAATGGACGACGAAACCTACGTCAAAGCCGACTACAAGCAGCTTCCGGGACAGGAGTTTTATACGGCAAAAGGAAGGGGAAAGGTAGCAGATGTTTTCAAGCACATGAAACTGTCAAAGTTCGCAAAGAAATATCTGGTTTGGCAAGCCATCTGTACCTGTGGCTTGAAAAGCAGCATTTTCATAGCTTCCGGGACTGTCAACCAAGAAATTTACGTGAAAGAGTGTTTGAATAAACGTCTGCTGCCTTTCCTGAAGAAACACGGTTGTTCTGTACTGTTTTGGTCGGATTTGGCATCTTGCCATTACGGTAAAAAGGCCATGGAGTGGTACGCCGCCAACAACGTGCAGGTGGTTCCCAAGGACAAGAACCCTCCCAACACGCCAGAGCTCCGCCCAATTGAGAAATACTGGGCTATTGTCAAGCGGAACCTAAAGAAGACCTAAAAAACTGCTAAGGGCGAGCAGCAGTTCAAGGCAAACTGGCTTTCTGCGGCGAAGAAGGTGGACAAGGTGGCTGTACAAAATCTGATGGCAGGGGTCAAGCGTAAGGCCCGGCAATTCGGATTTGGAAAAGCGGAAGCCTAACTGAATATTTTTCCTGAATTTTATACTAATTGAACTTGAAAAAGAAATTTAATTTGATTTTTTAAATAAACGATTTCACCGATTTACACGCGTTTTCCCTTGACCAAATTTTGACCGTATCACCCTTTAGGAAGGAAAGTAAAACCGTTGGTCCCGGCCCATGTATGTTGTGAATGGATGTGATATCTTACGCAGGTGTGGAAGTGCACTTTCGGTTGCCGTCTTTGAATGGCAATCGATGTCCGTCGGTGATTGGCACTAGATTGCGGAACAGAGACCAACGTTAAATAAAGGAAAAGAAGAAAAAAGAAGACCCTACCCAAGTAACATTGCAGGTTTCATCGCGGTTTTATAGCATTCTACAAGTCTAAATCATGGTCTACAGAACCCTCATAAAACCAAAATTGTTACTTGGGCAGCTTATCGACCCATCAACTCATGAGCCGGGGACCAACGGCTTTACTTGGTGATGATGATGGTCCCACCTCTTACCCCTACAAAGGTTTGAGCAGGACGACTCTCTGTCACTCGAGCCATAACAGCAATTTATAAAATAACGAACATTTTGGATGGCTCGAGTGACTTGCCTTTGATGAAAAAAAACACGTCTACTGAGGATTCATATTTCTAAAAAAAATCATCTATCAATGGAACACTCATCGGTCGTCATTGAAAAGCAATGCAACTATGTTCTGTCGATCTAATTGTAACTTTTATTGGCTCTGTTGTCTTGTGAATTTTAGCTATAACGGCATCTTTTCTGATTTTTATCTATTAATCTATGTAATATACACGAAAACTATGTTTGAACGAAATTTCTAGAACATTATAAGGAACATTATACTGCACACTACCAAAAAGTCATGTAAATTTCCGTGCTCTGAGACCGACACATGCAATCGGCTCAAATGATATAAGAATCAGTTGAAAGAAACGAGAATATAAATTCAATCAATCGTACTTTTCGTCGAGTTGCGTATGTTTCGGTTTGGGAACACTTAACTTTACATGAAATGTTTGTTTACGTTCCATAATTAACGTCAAAGATGGATGAGGTCTCGTGTAAAAATAGCTATTTTTAAGTGTGTGTAGATTACACATTTTTATATCATATGGGTGAAAAGTTCGTAGAACAAATACTGTAAATTCTTCACTTTTTAAGATATCTTCGAGCATGAAACTAAGTCAAACTTCAATAAAATCACTTTGAATAGTCAACCTTTAGTCACAAAGTTGGTAGAAAGTTGCTATGAAAGTTGTTACAGCAGTCTCGAGATACATATATTATAAGCCGTAAATTACCTTAAAAACATAAAATTAACTTGAAGCACCTCTAAATCATCACCGATTTTGCTGAACATTTGCGCAGAAGTACAAATTAACATGATGAACAGTAATCACGGTGCATCCCAAACATTATTGTTAAAATGAACAGGTCTATTGTATATAGACTCAACTTCCAAATGCAGCATTTCAGGTTTTTTTTAATGCATTTTTAACAGAAATACACAAATTTGAAGTTGACCAGTTTTTGCGCGTTCCAGACTTTATGTCAAATTGGTGCCGTACCCTGGTTCTGGAAACGTTTTTGTAGCCGAGTTATTAACGTATCGGGTTAAAATATATCGGCTGCAACCCGATAGTATCGATATTATCGATATCTGCTAACCGTAAGTAACCAATGCTCACGCCTTAACTGTTATTAGTCAATAGGATACCAAATTCTGTGGATCTTTCGGATTGTTTCACTATTCAAAGGCACAACAAAAGTAAAGTCATGCATGTTAATCCGGGAATAGAATTGTTAACCCTATGGCTTTGGTCAACGATAAACCATCAAAAGCAAATCTAGACTAGAGGCGTTGAAATATGACGGCTCCTTCTTCGAAAGGCGGGGGCTCACTTAGCACCGTCTGCAGACCACCGGTGGCTATCAGTGTTTCTACACCAAACAAGGCTGTAAAATTGAAATAGTGTAATATTTCAGAAACTAAGCTGAACCAGACTCGCATTCGAACCTATTAGCACAAGGGAAGCATTGGCAGGAACACGCAGCTCGTCTCTACCGTGGACAATCAATCGAAAGAAGTAGACGGCTAACAGCACGAGGAAAGCTATCTGGAAAAACATGAACGTTCGGAAAAGCTTGACGAATGCGGGCATTCGCTGAAATGTAGAAATACGCATTTTCAGTTTGTTAACTTCAACCAACGATGAAATGGAGATAACTGCACCTGGGAAACGCCAATGATCAGTATTCCGGCCAGGAACAGATTTCCGAAGCATGGTGGCAGCAGCAGAGCGGTGACGCCTGTAGGAAGTGGTCTGATTAGGGAGGGGGGAAATGGAAAGGGCTAGAGTTTCACCTACCTTTCGACGAGGCGGGAATGATAACATGAGCTACGATTTGCATCACCAGAAAAGTATTCACCGCTCCGATCAGGTAGCACAAGATCTTGCACAGTCGGTAGGTTATCATTTTGTACAGACAACCACGGGGTGGCGAGAGATCTGAAAGTATCGACCATCGAAAGCATCGTTTGAATATTTTGATTATTGCTTACACTGAAGTAAGACGAATTTTGTTTTTAAATTCTAGCCAATTTTGAACGAAAAATTTCTGGTTTAAGGTTTTTTTTCTGACCGTTGCCAATCATTATAATGTATTAGATAAGTTCCAAAATAGTACACATTGTTAGTTGAGTGAATTTTTGGGCCTTCGGGCGACAATTCTTTCCTGACGGATGAGCTCCAGTTGAATCTCCTTCAGCAATTCATGCTTCGAGTACGAATGAAGCTGAAATATTGAAAGAATGTTGATAAGAAATTTCAATCTTTGAACCAAGGACCGTTCTGTTCACGGGTTCAAATCACGTATGTCCATGGTTAATCAGGTCGGTAACAGCCAGGATCCCAAGTTCGCCAAGCAAACGGCGTAATCAGTCAGCCTCCAACAGCAATCGCTGGAGTCACATTGGAGCATCACTCGAAGTCTTCTTGAAGATCCGAAATTATGGATCCGTCGGTACGGTAACGGCTGTTCCTATTATATAGGGTGGATGTCCCATTAATCATTTTTTATCAGTTTAACATAAGTAGTCGATAATAATCGATTATATTTTCTGGATGATGTGCTGTTCTATGAAAAATGTCGAATTTTCTGCAAGCATGGCATGGTTAATGTTTTCTTTTCGATTCGGTTGGTGTTATCAATTGCGACGCATCGAATATAGGCTGTGAAGCTAAAAAAGAGTGTTGTTAAATTAAATAATAAGATCAAATTCTATTTTCCCAATATGAGCGTGATGTTCGCCTTTGGTGAGTTTGCCAATTTTTTGCAAACACTGGATGGGAATTCCGTTCAGATGGAAGCAACTTACCGGATTGTGGTGGAGAAGGATTTTTTTTTTCGGTGAATTCAAGTTGGAAGAATACGTAAATCATACGATTTAATTTTACATTATACGGATTGAATAACAAATGAGGTTCCGAAATCCGGGGACAAATTGACCACCGCGGCTTAACACCGAATAATCGTTTGAGATTTGAGTTTGGTTTCAGACATGGATTTGCGGTTCCTACATGTCACCCCGATTCCAAAAATACCCATATTGTGGGGTAGTTAACATTAATCCAATATCGATGTAGCCCTGAACCTTCTCACCTTCGATGTGTAGTGGATAAAATTCGATCAGAGCTCCAACACTGAGAAACGCAGCGGCAGGAACGGTAGCACCATCATCCAACCAGCCTCGAATTTCATTGCCAGGGATCTTCATGCAGCGAATGTATCAGGAGGATATTAATCCGTTTTTGCGTCACAATAAAACTCTTCGTTTGATGGAAACACTTAGTCAAAACACTACATTTATTTACCTTATCAATTTAACTACACGATTATACAAAAAGAACACGAATCTTCTGCGGTTACCGCAAACGTATGACAATGACCGGTGGTCTGTCCAATGACCTGTTCGTAACTAAAAACTTTCCCTTTCTATCCAGAGCAGCGCAATAGATCCAGATAAGCTGATCTATTGCGAGAGAGGTGACGTCACGGATATTGCCGGTCGATGGTCTGGTAAGCCAGGTCGACACACTGATCGGACGTTATCATCGTCTCTTATACTCTCATTAGATCACTTTAGCTGCTACATATGTGGTACCTACTGACCTAAGCTACCAGAGAAGAGATGAATTTTTATATACCTAAACCTCGATTCCTTATCCCCATCATTGGATGGTACATACTGTACGGTCTAGACTGTAGACAATAGCCCAAACGTAAACAAATCCGCCCGGCGGTTGCACGGACAGGCTATTGTACTGCTCAGCTGCAATAGATGGATGCCAGGGTTGTAGTTGACAGAGATCTGGATTCCGAACAGACACGTTCGAGCAACCTCTCATTAGGCATCGTATCGTAACCTGAATCGGACCACCAGCCATGAATCAATAAATGACATCGAACTAAACCCGGGACGCATTAAAACAGGCTCTATGGGAGTTCTTTATCTTTTCGGCACAGTCAACCTATCTTCAGTGAGTTCCAGTCGTAGTTGCCCCGGTCCTGTGTTCGAACGCGGAGATAGGGCTACCCAGCCTGTGACTGAAGTGTGCCCTGCTTCTAAACGGACGCGAAAATTTGACAGTTGTCAAATTTTCCATCTATGTTTTTGACAACTGAAAATGGAACATGTAACGAAATTATGAAAGATTTTGAACGTTAATAATTCAGCTGCCCCTGAACCAATTTCAATAATTTTACCATCAATCGATCAGGGCTACGCTTACGCATCGATATCAATGCTTTTGACTGTTTATGTTCAACAAGAAACTATTGAAAAGTAGTAAATGTCAAGCATTGTCAAAAAGCGTCGAAATAATTAACAAATCCACCAATTACGTACATGCATATGCTGGTTCCCTAGCACAGTCGTCAGAGAGTAGTAAGTAGACGAAACAAGTCGAAGAGAAAAAATAGCCTTGACTTAGTGGTGAAAACTATTTTTGTAGTTCTTTAAAAATTCTACTCTAACTCTTTTCATAAATTAACTTGGTGGCCCTGAAATGGGCCGTTTTGTTACTTGGTTGTTGGTGATGATACGTAGACGACATCCATGACCGTGACTGTCTGCGCTTGGCGTGTTCAGTGAAGGCATCACGGATCACATTTTCTCGGCACATGCCTCCTTTGTTGTATATTTGCTGTTGAACGTGTGAATCGCTACTAATGCGAACGCGTTAGTTAGTTAGTTTAAATGATCTTTATTTAAGTTTAACTTGGATGATTATCGTATACATTTTACTAAGTGATTTAATTGCTTTCTTCATCATTAAGTATGGGCAAAATTCACAATTTGTTTTACATAATTAGTCCTAGACCTAGCACATGGTCGACCACCTTGGTGGGATTGGTTTGTTTTGTTTTTAAAATTTGAAGAGAAACTACTTAATACTACTATTTACAGCTTAAAACTAACCTACTCTACTATATACACTTAACCTACTATGTACAAATTGCTTATTAAAGCATGTTCAGAAAGATTGCACTTTGGATAAATTTGGTTGTCATATCATCAATTTTGGAATCTACATTGGGAATTTCTGCCTCTTGATGGAGGTCTGCTATTCTTGTGTCGAATGGACGATCTAGGATCATCCTCAACACTCTATTCTGTGCAACTTGGATTTTGTTCCTGTGGGTCTGAGCGCACGATTCCCACACCGGGGCGGCATAGAAGATCGCGGGAGCTATGATCTGTTTGTAAACAGCCAGTTTGTTTTGCCTTGAGAGGCAGGATCTGCGGCAAATGAGCGGATACAAACACCTAACCAAGGCGGAGCACTTAACTAGGGTTTTCTCTATGTGCGAGCGGAACAGGAGCTTCTCATCGAACAACATCCCGAGATAAGTAACATCAGTGGACCACTCGACCCTTGTACCATCCATTATTACGGTACAAGAGGGAGACGGTTTAAGTTTTGGCGATTGTCTGTGAAGGGACATGATCGCTTGGGTTTTCGAGGCGTTGATTTTGATTTTCCACGTGGTGGCAGAATCAGTAAAGGTGTCAAGGCATCGTTGGAGCTTGTTCGTAATTTCACGAGGCATCCTACCCTTGACGGCTATCGCGGTGTCATCTGCGAACAGGAAGAACACGCAACCGTCTCCTAGAGGAGGGATGTCCAACGTGTAGATGCTGTAAAGCAGTGGTCCCAACAGACTCCCTTGCGGAACACCTGCTGGGATCGGAAATTGTCCCGAAAGGGAACTATTCAACGACACCCTGAACGAACTTTGCTGGAGGTAGTTACGGGTGATTTTCACAAGGTATGGTGGAAAGTTGGAGTTACAAAGCTTGTATATAAGTCCGTCGTGCCAGACATTGTCAAACGCCTTTTCGACGTCTAACAAGGCCATGGCTGTGGACTTGGATACAGCTTTGTTACTTCGGATGTTATTCATCACCCGTACTAGCTGGTGATTGGTGGAGTGCCCCTTTCTGAACCCAAACTGTTCCGGAAGGGGAATGTCATGTTCCTCCACAAACTTGTTCAATCGGCTGAGGATCAATTTTTCGAACAGCTTGCTCAGCGCTGAGAGCAGGCTAAACGGTCTGTAGCTTGACGGTAGTGAAGGGTCTTTCCCAGGTTTGCGGATCGGGATGATTTTTGCCACCTTCCAGATGCTTGGAAAGTAGTGCAGCTCCAAGCATCTGTTGAGGATGGCAGCCAGGAGCGAGTGGACTCTCGGGCTGAGATTTTTCAACGCTAGGTTGAATATTTCGTCAAACCCGGGAGCCTTCATGTTTTTACTATATTTCAGCGCTGAGAAAATTTGTTCCTCTGTAATCCGTTCTTCTGCAGGGACGGCACAAGAAGAGGTAGCTAACGTCTGGACGCACTGCGCAACCTGGTTCTCGAGTGGACTTGGGATTGTAGAGCCAAGCAAATGCAACTGGGCAATGTGCTCCCCAATCGCATTGGCCTTCTCTTCGTTGGTGATAAGCCGTTCGTCATTGACTCTAAGTGGTGGAATGGGCTTGGGGTGAGACTTCAGCACCTTGGCAACCTTCCAGAATGGTCTGGAACGGTCGTCCAGGTTCTGAACGAGCCGCCCGAAACTCTCGTTCCGGATTGAGACCATTCTGGAAGCGATCTGCCGATTCAGATCGACCATTTCGTATTTACGCTGCAGATCCCCAGTCCGCTGAAACTGGCGTGCGCTTGATGATGATGACCTGGGCCAACCTGGGATGATCTCATCCGTTGACAGCAGAGAATCGTCTGTAGCTTCGCCGGTTGTACCGGTCAATCCCGGAGTAGGGGGATCCGTCGATGGCCCGGATGCTTGACCGGGTACTGCAGCGGCAGCCGACTGGGCAGCAGCCAACTGTTGGTTGAGCGGGACCGGCGGCAACACTGGAATTGGCCGTGATTAGACCGGTGATAACGGAGGAAAGTTCTGCGCGTTGTTTTCTGGAACCTTCTTGCGACCCGGCTGCCTGTTGGACGAGGCCTTCTTCCGGATCTCGGTGGATTCGGGCCGCTTCGGACAGGCCTTACTCGTGGCCTTGTGGGCGGCACCGCAGTTGGCGCATGTGGGAGTGGCTTCCTCGATGCTGTCGCAGTTGTCGATCTTGTGGTTTTTGCCGCATTTGATGCAGCGGCTGGCCATGCTGCAGTTCCTGGTGCCGTGCCCGAACAATACGCAGTTCGAGCACTGAGTGACGCCACGGTGGGTCGGCTTATACCGCTCCCACTTCACTACGATGTGGAACAGTGTGCGTGTCGTCTGGAGATCCTTCACGGTTGTGGAGTTCTTCTCCAGATGGACCAGGTAGAGCTGGTCACGATACTTGATGGCCTTGCTGCGGGTCATCTTGTGGACTTCGACCGGCTTGAGGCCGTTCGCCTTAATCTCGTCCATTAAGGTGGTGGTGTCCATATCGTGGAGCCCGCGCAGCACCACTTTCAGCGGCTTGGTGGCCTCGATGTCGTGGGAGAAGTACTCCAGCTTCATCCTGTCCAAGAGGGCCTGGACTGTGTTGAAGTGTTTTTCGGCCGGGACCATCAGTTTGTAGCCTTTCGTGCACCGTTGAATGGTGCTGCGAAGGCCCTGCTTAATGTAGAAATCCAGCTGCTCCCATAGCCCGGAAGGGAAGCCCTTCACATAAAATGGGTGGCAACTTAACTTTTTTCGGCACCGTCTGCGGCTGGGCTCCGTTCTGCAGGGTGGAGAACGGATTGTTGCTCAGCAGCTTTTTTGCTGCCAATGCGGTGGCGCTGCTGTCTTCAGGTCTGGGTCGTTTAGTTCCGGGAGGCCCCGGCTGCGGGTCCGCAACGCCCGTCGGGACGGGCAATGGGGTTTTCTTCTACTTCTTCTGGGCTGGCTCGGTGGTCGCGCCGTCTCCTGGGAGAGTCTGTTTTCCCGGTAAACCGGCACTCGCGTTACCGCGCGATTTCTTACCCATGACTGGGTCAGTGAGAGCGTCACTACACAACGTGGAGCTAATTCGACTTGCGAACGAACGAACGAACGAAACTAGAGAGAATTCAAATCGACTGAACTGCTCAACAGTCTGGCAGCGAATGTCTGATAATAATGCGAACGCGCAGTTAGCTACTTGATATATAGACAGACAACCAGCTCTGCAGGTACCATATTTTCTCACTTCTCATTGGTTACTGTGTATAGCCGGCAGAGCTGGTTGTCTATATAACAGGTAGCTAACTGCGCGTTCGCATTAGTTGCTATTCAACCAAGTGTCATCGTGTGATAATATCCAGGGCCTGCCATTCGTCGTCTGGCTCGATGTGATTGTGTCAAGCTCATCTCCGGTCTGATGTACGAGGAAACCTGAGGTGTGCTAAGGTGTGCCGAGAAAATGTGATCCGTGATGCCGTCACTGAACACGCAGCTGCCTACACGTCATCATCATCTTCCAAAGGCTTTAAGCCTGTACTACCATCGGCCCTTTTCAGGGCCACCAACGTTTTCCAAAAGAGTTAATTTTCTGAACATGTCCCAACTAAAATTCATATCAAAAGGTTCTTTTCAGGGCAATCATAGTCATACAAAAGAGTATAAACAAAGAGAACCCCGCTAAAATTCCTATTCCTACACAAAACACAAGCTCCTGCCAGTGATGCAAAATATCATGACACTCACGTGACACTCGTCTACGCATCAACCGACTATCGCTAACAAAACGTTTTGTCACACAGTGAGAGGTAGAGCCATGGCAAACAACAATCACCAGTAATGGTTGCTGCTCACAAGCAAAACGTTACACTCGCTGCTGATGATGAAAAGCACAACGAAAACAGTGAAGACTTCTGCAGTACACTCAAAATAATCGACACGTTATAGTTACGTGATAAATCACGTGGAGTATCTCATTTTGGTTTGCCGTCAATTTTACATGACCAAATTAGAATCTACTTGATACCAATTATATTTGAGGGGAAATTCCATTTGAAACCGCTACATTTTTTAATGAAGTTTACGTGATTTTCCCATGCACAGATTCTATGTGCGTTTCACGTAAACCCTAAGTGATTTTCACGTCCGAAACATAAATGAGTGACACTCAGTATAGCGCTAGTTCAGAGGGCATATTTTCGTGCCAGTGTAAATTCAGATTATTTTATATGTTACTTTTTTGTGGG